TTTTATTCACCTGGAGAAAAGTATAAAGGATTTTAGGAGCTGCATTTTTGTATCAATTTTATGCCTATACATTAATTTTTTTTTTTTCCCCCATGGCTATTAGGGGGTATTTTTATTTCCAGGCACTCGGGTTGTTACTGAGTTGCCAGGATCTTATCAAAGTACAGCTGGCTCCACAAACTCATATATATTTTTTTAAAGTGAGAGAATATCTTCCTGACCACAAGATAGAAAAGATTTCTTAAACAGGACAGAGCACTGATCATAAAGGAAAAGATGAATATGGGACTACATTAAAATCAAAAGTGATAATTAATTGAAAACATGAGACATAGATTAGAAGAAGATACTTGCAGTACATATAACAGTACTACATTCATGCAGAATATAAATCAATAAAATGTACTATACAGCCCATCAGAATGGCTAAAATTTAAAAGCATGATAATAACCAAGTGTTGGAAAGAACTCGGTCGGAACTCATATACTGTTGGTCAGAGTTACACTGGTTCTTTAAAACCATTTGGCAGTATCTTCTAAAGTGGAACTAACACATACTCTGTGGCCCCGCAGTTGTCCTCTTAGTGATACACATATATACAGAAATACATACACATGTACACCAAGAGACATGTACAAGATTGTTCACAGAATCATTAATTCATAATAGCAAAAGAGGGGAAACCCAAATGTCCAAAAACAAAATAATGAGTAAGTAGAGTATATTCATACACTAAAATACAAAGGAATGAAGATGAATGAACTATTGCTATACAAAAACCATGGGTGAACTTCACAAACAATCTTAAAGCAGAAACAAAAGAATATACAGTGTACAGTTCCATTTACACAAAGTTGAAAAACAGGTCAAACTAATCTCTGGTGGTGGAAGTCAGGACAATAGTTCCCTTTTGGGAGAAGACAGGGGATTGAGATTGAGAAGGGGCCCAAGGGAAGCTTCTGGGGTGTTGAAAATGCTCTATTTCTTGACCCAAGTCGTGAGCAGACAAATGTGTCCATTTTATGTTAATTTAATGAGCTATAGCCTTATGATCTATGCATTTTCTGTACATTTAACAAAAGTTTATGGAAAAAGAAAAACTTACAATGGCTTATTTTCCCCTCAAAATAAAGTCTAAACATCTTACAGTAGTGGCTTATAAGAGACTTGTGTGATCTGGCCATCGCTTACCTCTTCAACTTTATTTTTGCCATTCTCCACTTTCTGATTCAATAACATCATGTTACCTCTTCCCTTCAATCCTCTGCACATTTTATTCCCTCTGCCTCAGACACTTCCCCTTCCCCTCCCTTTGCCTGGCTGACTCCCTAGTCATCCTTTAGGTTTCAGTTTATTCATCCACTCTCTCAAAAGTCTTCCCCGAGCCCCCAAGTCTGGGTTGGTGTCCTCCCCAGGGGCTCTCACAGCACTCTAAACGTCCCCAACAGACATGTATTTAATCCCCAATTCAGTGTAATCAATTTGTGCTCTTGTCTCCCCGACCAATCTGTAAACTCTGTGAGGGGAAGGTGCCTGTCATACAGAAGTCTTTTGATAAACACTGTCAAGTGAATGAAGATCCAAATAAATGAACAAATATTTTCAACCAGAAGTTTCTTCATTAATTAACTCACTTCTGTGCAGAGGTTCCTAAGATCAGCTCCAGAGAAAAAACAGGTTTCTGCTGCTAGGTTTTCTAAAGAAACATCGGGCCCCACTGGCATGTTTTTTGTACAGACTTCCAAAATTGAAAGCCTGCCCTAGAGCAAAATAAACAGTATGTTTATAATCTTTTAACAGTCATGTCAGACACGACATAATATGAAAACATTTCAAGTTAGAATTTTCTATCATATTACAGGAAATATATATAAAGAATCAAACAACAAATAATATCACTTATTGCTTCTGAAGAAGTACATTAACTCAACAGTGGCCCTTATGACAATGATAAAAAATAATTAATGAAATCACGAAGAACTTTTAGTACTTTTATAATTCATTTTTCAAACTGAGAACCGTAGGTCTCTTTAAGAGATAGGATGACTCTCTTTTTTGCAAACAAATAGTACCATGAGACATAATTTAAAAAGCAAATATATGAATGTCAGACAATTTCTGTCCACTATAAGAATCCTGACCCAGGTCATCTCCAAAACCTTAGGATTCCTCCCTTCTAGTTGCAAAATACTATTCAGTAGATGCAAAAGAGTATTTTGAATCTGGCACAACAGTGAGGTAAGAGAAGTTCCTTACTTTTAGGCTTATGTTCTTCTGAAACAAGAAGCAAGGCACTCGGCAAAAAATCGTGATTTCATGAAGGCAGCAGCCAAGGAAGAATGCAGAACTTGGTGTGAGTAAGACAGAGTTGACACCAATACCCAGTTTGGAATCTGATTCTGCCGAGCCCTTTGGAGCTCGTATGCTGTTAAGACCACTTACACAGGGTAAATGTGTGTACAGTGATTACCTTTTGATCTGGAGGTGGAATATAAATGATCTTATCTAACCTGCCAGGTCGTAACAAGGCATCATCTAACGCATCAGGTCTATTTGTTGCTGCAATAATCATGACATTTTGATTAAAAACTTCTTGAAACTCTACCTGAGGGAAAACAAAGTAATATAATTAAAATGTTAAGGTGTTAATTATTCCATGTCTTTTAAAAAGTACAAATCAGAAGGTCTATTTGTTTTTAGAGGAGGATATCCTTTGCTTGGGATATCCACCCCCTATCCAGACTACCTTCCTGATATCAAGATACCCCAAATTAATTAATCAAAGAGCTACCTTTTGTTTGCATGGCAAAGGAACCTATCTCCAGACTATATGAGAAACAATGAAAAGCCTTGCACACAGCAGAAAGCACCTCTTTGTCGACCTGAATACTGACCTGAGCCCCCAATTAATGATTGTAACTTAAATGGTCTCCTTAAAAAGATTCCAGATAGAAACATATGACTGGCACATGGAAATGCACAGTTATGGAAAGCCTAGACTAACATATCCTCTAAAAGGAGCTTTATTTGACTTTTTTTTTTTTTTCTTCTTTCTTCCCAGAGGGAAGAAATATGACAATTAACATCAATTGCATGTTTGAAAATTCTGGCTAAAGGTAAGGAATGTTGAAAAGCAGCCAGAACAAGACCTTATTCAAGCTAAGCACTCAGAAAAGTGTTTAGCAGAATAGTGAGAGCGTTCTCTGGTGTCATGATCTTTCAAGTAATGAGTTCCCTGTATCTGCAAGTATGTTAGCAGAAGCTGCACGACCCCTGTCAGATGCTGTAGAAGTAATTCCTCTATTATAAAGAAGATTTGATTAGATAGCCTCATGGGTTCCTTCTAATTTTACTGTGCTTTTGTTACTAAGAAGCTGTAAGACTCTTCTGTGGAATAATTTTTAAAATAAGAACAAGGAAAGAATGAAAGAAAAGAAAAATTATGTCAGTGATAATTTAAGGATGCTAAACTCTTATTTAGGAGCTCTGGTAGTGTAGTGCCAAAGGCACTTGACTGCTAACCAGAAGGCTGGCAGTTCAAACCCACCAGCCACTCCTTGGAAGGCAAGTTGGGCAATCTACTTCTGTAGTGATACCTCCTCGAAAATCCAAGAAGGGGTTGCTATGAGTCGGGTCCGACTCAATAGCATATAACAACAACAAACTCTATTTGGAGAAGTGACTCAGAAACAGGAAGGAATATGCCAGATTCATTTTAACTTCATTATAACCAAAGAAAACCATTCCTCAAGACAACTGGAAGTTTCTCAATTACTAAAATTATTAAAAATAATTATGTTTTATTTTACCTAAAAAATTTTTAAAAGAGATAAACACTGGTTCTTTAGCACTGACAAATAAATTTCATCTTCTTTATCTCTTCTCCATTAGTGATAAATAAAATTGTTTCTAAATCTTTGAAAATTCTGAAAAACAAAATTCACCTTCACACATATATAATACATTATAAAATGTACTTCGCCTTTACTAGCAGCATCACAATTCTGATCAGCTCTGTAAAAATCTCAACAGAGTAAAAATCTCAACAGAGCAAAATTGAAATTATGTAATTCCCTCCATAAGATGAATCTAGCATAGAAAAAGCTACAGTGTATACATGTTCTATTTCATTTGGCCTAGATTTTTCATGTATTATGACTAATAAATTACTGAAAATAAGTACCTCTTCATTTTTTTTCAGCTCCTTGTATTTACCCTGTTGAATTAATTTACTTCCTCTTCTCTCTATTGTCTTAAGTCCAACACCATCCAATTCATTCAGGAGAACAGAAAGAACTCGTTCTTGAACATTACATCCTGTTTTGCTGACTGATCGAGATCCCAAGATTGAATCAATTTCATCCAAAAATACAATCGCTGGAGTATTTGCTCTTGCTTGTCGAAATACCTTTTATTAGAAAAGTAAGAATATGAAAAAGCTGTATGTTGTGCTTTATTCACTCAAATGTATGTTCTTTGCATTATTACTTATAGTTTAAAAAAGTTTAAAAAGAACAGACAGATTCTAATGTCTGATAATTAGAGGATACATAAATAAAACAGGGAACAATGGAATATTATGTAGGAGTTAAAAATCATATTTTCAAAGATTATTTAACATTATGAAATTTTAAAAATAAGTTTAAAAAGTAGACTAAAGCTATATATATATATATATATATATATATAATTTGTCTTTGATTTTTTACTTAAAAAGAAAATTATATATAAAAGACAAAGGAAATTCAAAATATTAACTTAAAAGTAGGTAGAACAAAAAAACAAAACCTCAAATTCACAGCCATCGAGTCGATACCGACTCACAGCAATCCCCATTGGGTTTCCAAGGTGGTAAATCTTTACAGAAGTAGATCGCCCAGTCTTCCTTCCATGGAGTGGCTGGTGGGTTTGAACCACCAGCCTTCTGGCTAGCAAATGCCTTAGGCACTGGGTAGAGGGATTATAAAAAGCCCTGGTGGTATAGTGGTTAAAGCCCTTGGCTGTTAACCAAGAGGTCGGCGGTTTGAATCCACCAGCCACTCTGCAGCAGAAAGATGACGCAATTTGCTTCTGTAAAGATTTACAGCTTTGGAAACCATATGGGGTAGTTCCACCCTGTCCCATAGTGTCACTATGAGTCAGAATCCACTCATTGGCAATAGGTTTGGGTCTGTTGGGTAGAGGGATTATGGAAGATTTATTTACACTTTCCTGTATTTTCTACAAACAAATATATAACTTCTGTAATCAGGAAGAAAAACTAAGAACTATTAAAAAATAAATAAATAAGATTTGTTTATAATACATGAAATAAACTTAACTACATGGGCAAAAACAAATCAACCAACCTGAGACAAGATTTTTTCTGAATCTCCAACAAAAGGTGAGAAGAGATCAGCCCCACTGACTGACACAAAAGAGCAATGGCAGCTAGTTGCCAGAGCCCTCACAAGGGTGGTTTTCGCACATCCGGGAGGGCCATACAGGAGAACTCCCTTTGGCTGTGTCAGGCCCATCCTAACAAATTCTCGAGGGAATTTCAGAGGCCATTCAACACTCTATGAAGATACATACAGAGACAGAACAGTTCTTTTAGTGTAGTCATAAAATGTCAAAATAATTCAAATATTTTAAATGTCATCAGAACATTCATTCATTCATTCAGTAATTCTCAAGTACCTGTTATATGAGCTGGAAACATAGACCATTCTTCACACAGCAGTCAGTAATCTTAGAACCTCAGTCAGATCACATCATATCCTGCTTAAATTCCTTCAATGAATTGCCATAAGGATAAGAATAAAATCCAAATCCAAACTCCATACTTAATATGACCTACAAGGCCTTACATAACCCAACTCCCATCCACCAGGCCCATGCACATTATGCTTTCTACCTCAGAATCACTCCAGTTTGTTCCCATCTCAGGATCTTTATACTTGCTATTCTCTCTGTCTGGAGTATTCACCTCCACAAGACTTCTGTGTTAACTATTTCTTCAACATTCAGGTCTCAGCTCTAATGTCATTTTCTTAGAGAGGCCTTCCCTAACCACCCTAGTTAAAAAAGCAGACCCTTCCACCATTAGTCATTCTCTATGAGAGTGTTCATCTTTTGCTTTTAGAAAACATACTCATTCGTTATCTGAAATTATTATTTTTCTGTGTTGAGTCTGTCATTCTGCTCCTGCCAGAATGTAAGCAAAATTCATTTCTAAATCCCCAGCACCTAGGATGACACCTTCACCAAGAAGACACTCAATAAACATTAACTGAATAGTGAATAAGCCCTCATTATCTTTGAGTTTTATTATAAGCAACTTACCCAGGACTTACTGTTAATGGTCCCTGTGTGGTACAAAGAGCTAACATGCTCAGCTGCTAACTGAAAGGTTAGAGTTTGAATCCACCCAAAGGTACCTTGAAAGAAAGGCCTGGCAATCTACTTCTGAAAAATCAGTCACTGAAGACCCTATGGAGCACAGTTCTACTCTGACGTACATGGAGTCACCATGAGTTGGAACTGACTCAACAGCAACTGGACTGGTCATTGCTAGTAGGTGGCAGAACTGAGACTGACCGCACTCAGTATAACTCAAGAGCACGGCTCTTAATAACTGCTATACTGGCTCTCTAATAAAAAGGGATAGGTAAGACCCCTTACCTTGGGTACACATATTTTAGCTGGGAGACAGGTCAGAAAAATGTATCGCAAGGGGAAGGAATAATACATACAAATAAGCATGACACATCTAACTCATTTCTCAGATAGTAAGCAAGAACAGAGGGGAGGGGTGGGAGATGCACAGAGTAATGGAGGTAGGAGTCAGATCACAATGGGGCTTGAATGTTTTAGCCAACACCCAGGAGACTGGATTGGAAGGAAATGAATCTAGAGAAAGGAGACCAGTTCAAGTCTCCTGCAATGATTCAGACTACAAAATCAATAAAGCTAGATATGTCACAGGTAGCTGGGATGGTGCAAAGGGGACACATTTGAAAGACAAAATGGAGTTGCATTTTATGTCGGGCTAAGTTCAAAGTTTAGAGTGGAAGTCATGTGCATGTATATGACTCTATGAGTTTAGAAGATAAGCTTCTGACTTAGGGGACAAGGTGACTCTTTGTATTCACAGAGGTAAAGAATTCAGGTGTGGGATGGAGTTGATGAGCTGAATTTCTATGCAGAGTTTGAGATTACTGGCAGTTATCTAGCAGGTCGGCAACTAAGTAATAATTTTGATGCTCAATTCTGAGGGCTAGCTGCAAATCTTGGACATAGGGAAGATCATGAACTCACCCAAAGACTATGAGAAGACTCCTAGGAACTTGGAGCATTAACATTTAAGAGAGCAGAGAAGAGCGCTCAGAAAGGCAGGAAAAGTCAGTATCTCAAAGCTAAGGAAAGAGTGTCTCCAAGAATAAGATGTGGCTAATCTCTCTTTTGTATTCTGTGAGGATCAAATGAGACAATACATATAAAGACGTTATATTATAAATGTTCTTATCCACAAACACAAGTATTCCAGTGTTGACTATAGATATAGCTCCTGGTTAAGATGAATAAATTATAATTGATACGTACACACAGGGAGCTTTGGTGGCACTGCCTAAGGCATTTGACTGCTAACCAGAAGGCTGACGGTTCAAACCTACCAGCCACTCCTCAGAAGGAAGACTGGGCAATCTATTTACATAGAGATACTGCCTCGGAAACCCAAGGAAGGATTGCTAGGAGTCGAATCAACTCGATGGCAGTGAGTTTGTTTTTTTTGGTTTTATCTATCAACAGTCTTCTATGTATGCAGTTAGAGAAAACGATTTCCTTAGGGTAGGACTGCCCCTAGGTAAATTTGCAAAATCAATTTCTGAAACTACAATGTTGGTAAGAGTATATATAGAGTGGTGTGATGGTTATGTTTATATCAACTTGGCTAGGCCTGGTTGAGTGGCTGGGCAGCTGGAGGTAGTATTCCCCATGATAAGACTGGTAATCAACTCCATGGTGGAATCTACTGGGAGCAGCTGAGTAGCTGCCTTTGGGTATGTGGGCTGCTTCTTATATAAAAGGAGAAGCTTTGAGAATGGTCTCAAGCCTATGGCATGCTTGGACCCTGCATGTAGTTGTGTCGTTGCTCAGCAGCCTGCTATGCTCTACCAACCTTGGAACTTGCATGGACTTAAGTTAATGGTCTGCGGTGTGGTTTGGTAACATTGGGACTGTGCCTTTTGACTTGTTAATGTTGGGCTTCTCAGCCTCAGCAGCCAGCAGCTGTCCGAGTGAAGAAACGCCTCTAGCTCCAGTGGGCCGGGAGCAGGAGGCAGAGCTGGACCCCAGGGTTGAGGGGCTTTCACCCAGCCCCTAGAGCCTGGCACTTTGAACTTGGACTTAAAGCCTCCAAACTGTAAGAATAAACTCCTGTTTGTTAAGGCCATCCCATTTGTGGTATGTTTCCTGTCAGAGTGGCACTAGGTAACCAGAACAAGTGGTTCTCTCAACAAAAGGCGCTCTGGTGGCACAGTGGTTAAGCTCTCAGCTGCTAACCAAAGGTCAGCAGTTTGAACCTAAGGGACTCCATGGGAGAAAGATGTGACAGTATGCTTCCATAAGGATTACAGCCTTTTATGGGCAGGTCTACCTTGTCCTACTGGGTTGCTATGAGTCTGAACTGACTCAGCAGCAGTGGAGCACATCCCTCAACATCCACTGTGAGAACTCAAATCAAGTAGCTATCCAGGCTATAGTGGCTCATTATAATTTGTTTTTATCAGTTTCTACTGTGCCCGTCTTCTTTTAGACCAGAAGTCAGGGCAAATAGTTTTTACATTTTTAAACGACAGGGAAAAAATTCAAACAAAAACCTTGTGACATATAAAAATTATTTGAAACTCAAATTTCAGTGTTCATAAACAAATTGCTACTGGAACACAGCCATATTTATTCAATTACATCTACAGATGCTTTTATGCTACAGCATCAGAGCTGAGTAGTTATGACAGAAACCAGAGAGCCTGCAAAGCGTAAAATAGTATTTACTATTTGGGCCATTACAGAAAGAGTGTGCTGTCTCGTTCTAGATTATACAGTTTTTAAAGCAAAAAAAGCTTTGGTAGCATAGTGCCTAAGGCACTTGACTGCTAACCAGAAGGCTGGTGGTTCAAACCCACCAGCCACTCCTCAGAAGGAAGATACTGAGGGGATACTCAGTAATGATACTGCCTCGGAAACCCAAGGAGGGGTCGCTATGAGTTGGGTCTGACTCGACGGCACATAACAACAACAACAAAGCAAAAAAAAAAAAGAGGACAATGTGGAAAAGTATGAAAACAGTATTTGATGCCTACAGAAGTCAAGTTAAATAAGGACTGAAAGTGAGCATTTGATTCAGATACTAAGATCTCATCAGTGATCGTGGCAAAAATATTTTCAATGGAATTTGTTTTAATCATAAATGCACTACGCCTAAGCGATAATATTCTATTGGCTTAATTTTCTATCTTACCTGTTTTAACTTCAGTTTTACATCATCAAGACCCCCAATCTGCTCCCAGCCAATAGGCTTGATGTCCATCAATCCAATGACACTTCGAAATGATGAGGGTTGAATCTTTTTAAAAGCTTCTAGGAAGTCTGTTTCATCAATCATAGAGTTGTCTTGATTCTAAAAAATGTAAACAAAAACACAAACCAAAAATTAAAACAAAACAACCCACTGCTAACAAGTCAATTCCAACTTATATCAACCCTTCAGGACAGAGTAGAACTGCCAATAGGATTTCCAAGGCTGTAAATCTTTATGGAAGCACACTGTCTCATCTTTTTCCCAAGAAGCAGCTGGTAGGTTTGAAATGCTGACCTTTTGGTTAGCAGCTAAATACTTTAACCGCTACACCACCAGAGCTCTTTGGGTCACTATAAAAACCAAACCACACTTACTGCCATCGAGTCATATCCGACTCATAGTGACCCCTCCTTGGGTTTCCAAGATGGTATCACTACAGAAGTAGATTGCCCCATCTTCCTTCCGAGGAGTAGCTAGTGGGTCTGAACCGCCAGCCTTCCGGTATGCAGTCAAATGCCTTAGGCACTATGCTACCAGGTCTCCCTTGATCTTAGAACCAAAAACCAAACTCACTGCCATTGAGACAGATCCAACTCATAGCAACCCCTCCTTGGGTTCCGAGGCAGTATCACTACGGAAGTAGACTGCCCAACCTTCCTTCACTATAGTAAAGCAAAATTTTGGTTATAGTAAAAAACTTCTTATATTTTTATTTCTAACATCTACATTTATTGAAGGATTTACTCTCTTACAACAAATTCTGAACATTTTGTTATTGTTAGGTGCTGTGGCAGTTACGGTTGTAGGTCAACTTAGCTGGGCCATCATTCTCAGTGGCTTGGCAGCTGGATGTAGTCATTCCCCATGATGACATTGTAATCACGATGGAATCTGCTGTGAGATGTTGATCGTGAAACAGACTTCTGGGGTGTGGCCTATGTATTTTTTCCATTTTCTTTTCATGCTTCCTTCATCATTCAATATTTTGCCCATAGAATCCTTCAATATTCCAACTGGAGTCTTTAATTTATATTCAGTTCTTTCCACTTGAGAAATGCCGATCATGTTCTCACCTTTTAGTTTTCTAACTCTAGGTTTTTGCATGTTTAATTATAATTTACTATAATTGTCTTCTCAAGCCACCCTTTGAAATCTTCTGTTCAGCTGCTTTACTTCATCATTCCTTCTATTTGCCTTAGCTACTCTACTTTCAAGTGCAAGTTTCATAGTCTCTTCTGACATCCATTTTGGTCTTTTCTTTCTATCCTGTGTTTTTAATGATCTTTATTTTCATGTATGATGTCCATGACTTGTCTGGTCTTCAGTCATTAGTGTTCGAGGCATCAAATTTATTCTTGAGATGGTCTCTAAAACAGGTGGGATATACTCAAGGTTGTACTCTGGTTCTGCTGGACTTTCAATTTTCTTCCGCTTCAACTTGAATTTACAAATTAGCAATTGGTGGTCTGTTCTATAGTCGGCCCCCACCCTTGTTCTGACCATATGGAGGTTCTCCCTCCTCTCCTTCCACAGATGTAGATTTTCTTCCTGCATTATTTCATCTGGTGAGGTCTATGTGCATAGTTGTTCTTTATGTTGACAGGATGTATTTGCACTGAAGTCTTTGGTCTTGCAAAATTCTATCATGTGATATTCAGTGTCATTTCTATCACCAAGGCTGTATTTTCCAACTATTAACACTACTTGTTTCCAGATTTCACATTCCAATCACCAGTAATTATCAATGCAATCTGATTGCATGCTTGATCAATTTCAGACTGCAGAAGTTGGTAAAAACTTTCAATTTCTTCATCTTTGGCATTAGTGGTTGGTGTGTAAATTTGAGTAATACTCCTATTAACTGGTCTTCCTTACAGGCATATGGATATTATCCTATCACTAGCAGGATTTGCAATTCAGTGAATTCCTTCATATGACCCTTCCAGCCATGGTCTTTGACTCCCAACAGATGAGTGGGTGGGAGTATGCAAATGTGAGGTGTACCACAAAGAGGAATGGACAGCTTGCTAATAATATAAGTAAGGTGCATAGCACCCTTCTAAGGGTGGGACCACACAAATGAGGTATATGTAACCCTAACACGGGGATTGGTCAATTTGTCATCTTGCTAGGCTTAAAATGAGTCATCACAAAGGAAGAAAGGAGGGATCTCACTACCATCAAGAAAGAAGAGCCAGAGTGGACTGTGTCCTTTGGACCCAAGATCCCTGCACTGAACCTCTTACTTCTCTAATAAACCCCCGTAACTGTGACTATGGTTTGTGAGTTCTGTGTGGCCACTGCACTAGATTACCAAACCCAGGAAAGTAGAGAGTGTCATGGGAGGACAGCTAGTAATCAGAATTAGTAAAAAAGTTGGAGTGTACAGGCACATCTGACCTCTGCCTCACAAGCCTCAGACCTGGGCTATTGATCTTGATTCTCCTTCCCCCTGTGAAGGCAGAGGAGGTCAGACGCCTCCACAAAGCCATTTTTACAATGTTGTACTTCAGGGTAGATCTGGAAATGTTCCTTTTGACGATGAATATGACACCATTCCTTTCCAATTTGTCATTTTTAGCATAGTACATCATATGTCTGTCCAATTCAAAATGACCAATACTAGTCCATTTCAGTCCACTAATGATTAGGATATTGATCTTTATGCTTTTCATTTCATTTTGATGACTTCTTACTTTCCTAGATTCACACTTTGTACATTCCACTTTCTGATTAATGGATGTTTACATTCTCATTTTGACTTGTGCCATATCAGCAAATGAATGTCCTGAAAGCTTTATTCCATCTGTATCGTTAAGTTTTTCATAAATTCACATTTTTAATAACAAATTATTTTATCCCATTTATATAAGGTTAAAAAGTTAATATATATGTATAGAGCTATCTTGACCAGCATTCCAAACAAAATGTTAACCATTGTAATCTCCAAGTGAAATTTTAGCAATTTTTACCTTCTTTATACTAGTCTGTCATTTAATTTCGCAAACACACACACACACACACAATTATAAGAAATCAGCTTTTTAAAAAAAAAATTGGCTAGCAATATTAGCTCTTAGGAACCTGAGTATTAATGAATTTTTAGGTAATACCAATTAACAATTAAAAATCTTTTATAGTTCAAGATCACTTGTATACACATTATTGCATTTGATTCTCATGACAAACCTTTCATGTAAACAAAATTCTTTCTTGTGTATAAATGTGGGTATGTGTTAAGCTGTATTTTTAATCCTGTAATAGGAACACTTCCCCAAAAATTTAATACATTTTACTGTCTCCCTTTCTGCCCTGGCACACACAGAGGCAGCAGCAGCCCCTCAGCTGCTTGATGATGATGATGATGATGATGGGTATTGCCATTGAGTCGGATGCAACTCATAGACCCCCTCCTTGGGTTTCCCAGGCAGTATCACTACGGAAGTAGATTGCCCAATCTTCCTTCTGAGGAGTGGCTACTGTGGGGTTTGAACAGCCAGTCAAATGCCTTAGGCACTACACCACCTAGTGTGGGGAAAAAAGAAAAAGATGGAGCCAATACCTTCCCAGATGCCTCTGTCCCTTCTTCCTGTTTGCCTTTCTTCCTTCCACTTCCCCTGGGATGTTTCTGAGCTCAGTCATCACCTGTAGGAATACCCCTGGCAGGCCCCTCCTGAAGCGGCAGTGGGCTCCACCCTAGGACGGCAGCTGCTGATTGGTCCTCCTCTCCCTAAGCCAGAGGTGCTTAAGGGTCAAACCTGGAACTTCAAAGCAGAGGGAATCCTAAATGTAAATTTCCTTTCTCTACTCCTGGTACTCTCTTTCTCCCCCCCAAAAGCTGTATTCTGGCACTGGTTCTGAACCTAGACGATGAAGAATTAGAACGTCATGTAACTCTTCCTCACCTTCAGCGTAAAAGTAAAGAAAAAAGAAGTGAGGATGTGAGATATCTAGGTAATAAGGTTTTCAACATTTAGAATGATAAATTATCCTTTTTAAATAAGTTTGAGATTGGGTTTTTTAAATCACAAGAGCAGAGCAAAAAAACAAAAACCCAACTCACTGCTGCCGAGTGGGAACCAACTCATAGCTACCCCTCTTTGGGTTTCCAAGGCAGTATCACTACAGAAGTAGATTGCCCACCCTTCCTTCTAAGGACTGGCTGCTGGTTTGAACCACCAGCCTTCTGGTTACCAGTCACATGCTTTAGGCACTATGCCACAAGAGCAGAGGGCAATTTTAATTATAATTGAGATTACAAACTATGCCCAGAATCCTCAGCCTGCTAAAATTATTGTTTTTTTCCCTAAAGGAGTTTAAGGCTTGGGTTTCCGAGGAGGTATCTCTATGGAAGTAGATTGCCCAATCTGCCTTCTGAGGAGTGGCTGGTGGGTGATTCTTCTGGTTACCAGTCAAATGCCTTAGGCACTACGCCGCCAGAGCTACTACTAATTACATACATGACCTGATTCTCTAATCAATAGACTAGAATTTATAATAGTTAAAAATAATAATAGTGCTAGTTTCAACTAGTACTATTTATAATTCTAAATATTACAAATGTCCTAGTATTTTTAGGATATACTGAAAAAGGCTAGTACCATGAATACTTTTAAGAAAGGTAGTCATGAATTAAAGACATGAATGTCAAAAGACAATTTTAAATAAAATTCCAGATATGTGATCTTCTCTAGGATTAGAAGGGTTTTTTCCCCCACCAAGGTACTTATAAATAGCAAAGGGAAAAACAATATCTTGACAATGGAGAAATCTCACAGATATCACCAGGAACATAGTGATTAATTTCACCAGCAACAGGATAAATAGATACCATGTGCTACCTGACGGATACAATGAGAAGAACACAGGATTTTCTGTGATATTCTTGCAAAAAAATGCAAAACCTGAATCAAGATCAGTCAAACCCAAATCAAAGAATATCTTACCTAATAACTAACCTATACTCTTAAAAAGTTGTGGTCATGAAAAAAAAAGACTGAAGAACAGTTCCAGATTAAAGAAAACTAAGAAATTGTGACAACTAACTGCAATATGTAATGCTAGACAAGAAAACTTTTTTTTTTTTTTTTTAAGTTTTGCTATAAGGAAATCAGTGGGACAAATGGTGAAATTTGGATAAGGTCTACGTAGATTAGGTGAAAGTATCATATCAGTGTTAATCCTCTCATTTTTATCATTGTACTGTAATTGTGTAGCAGAAAGTTTTTAGGAAATACAACCTTACATTTTCAAAGGGAAAGCAGCATTATGGCTGAAGCATATTTGCAATTGTCTCAGAAATGTATACATATACACATGAAGAGAGAATAACAAAGCAAAGTAGCAAAATGTTAACATCTGCAGAATCTAAGTCTGAAATTATTTAAAAAGAAAAAAATATTGATTCTTCTGGGGCCACGGCTTTTTCCATGGCTGTTCTGGGAACTGCTGGCTTCAACTCTAGGATGTTACAAAGGGAGCAGGGAAAATATTCACTGGGTAGACTTGGAGGATGGCAGCTCTGGTGGCGTAGTGCCTAAGGCACTTGACGGCTAACTGGAAGGCTGGAGGTTCAAACCCACCAACCACTCCTGGGAAAGAAGGTTGGGCAATCTACTTCAGTAGTGATACTGCCTTGGAAACCCAAGGAGGGGGTCGCTGTGAGTCAACTGGAAAGCACATAACAACAACAGACTTGGAGGACTCAGTCCTTTATTCCTGCTTTCAATCATTTATCATTGTTATGATAATTTCTCAGGGAATTTGGAATTTCTCTTTGGATAGATTTGGAGAAACCAAAAAATCTGCCCAGGGATGTCTACCAGCATTAGCTTTATTTAGAATAGGAAAAAAGAGAATCAAAGGGGGTGGGAGGGAGAAGGGAAAGGGGAAAAGAGAGAGAGAAAGAGAAGATTTACAAGACAGTCAATGAAAGGAAAGTATGCACAGGGGAATAGTTATACCTGAGTCTGGGGTATTGAGGACTGGAAGGCTACATGACCGGTTTCAGACTCAGAGGCACTGGATCCTAGGCAGTGGGCAGGGCTTTCAAACCACTTGTGTTTGCTCTGATAAAAACACTGCCAGTTAGGGCACTTAATTGCCCAGGGCTAACCTAAGGACGTATTAATACCTGACAGAGGGAAAATGATCCAAATGTGACAGGGAGGGAGAAGGAGAATGGCTTGCAGTTTCTTATAAGCATGGCTAAACAAGATGGAGTGTGAGACCATTTCTGGGGGTGTTGCAGTCACTGACCATATAATTATTTATATAGAGTTTAGATGTAAAAATATGTATTAAAAATAGCTTCAAAACTATCAAAGTTCACTTATCACTTTTTCAATCCTAAATTTAATTTGTTACATTATTAAAAGATTAATATGGGTAAACCAAAAAGCAAAACCAGTTGCCAACAAGTCAATTCCAACTCATGGGGATTCAAATGGGTAGATGGTCATACACTAATTCTTCTTACCTTGTCACTACGAAGCATAGCATGCAAGGCAGCCTCTCTACAAAGTGCTGTCAAATCTGCACCAACATAGCCAACTGACATTTCTGCAAGACGACCCAAATCAACAAGACTGGAGACAGGCATCTTTGAGGTAATCACTTGCAGAATTGCCTCTCTTTGTTTCAGTGTGGGAGACCCGATGACAACCTATTTGCAAAGCCAGTAAGAGAAAGAGAGAGAAATTAAAGCTTAGTCAGTTTTAAAATTTATGTATTTTTATCCTCACAAATACATGCAATAATTTAAGAGCCCTTCTGGAACTAGTACTTGCACTTCAGAGCATAGCCCAGATCCTAAAAGCAAATACCAGAAAGATGTTTACCTGTGTTTTATTGGCTATGCAAAGGTATTCGACTATATGGATCATAACAAATTATGGAAAACACTGCAAGGAATGGGAATTTCAGTACACTTCACACTTCATTGTGCTCATGAGGAACCTGTACACAGACCAAGAGGCAGTCCTTCAAACAGAATAAGGGGATACTAAACGATTTAAAATCAGGAAAGGTGTGTATCAGGGTTGTATCCTTTCACTATACTTATTCAGTCTGTATGCTGAGCAAATAATCCAAGAAACTGGACTATATGGAGAACATCATGCAGTATCCGGATTGGAGGAACACTCATTAACAATCTGCAATATGCAGATGACACAACTTGGGTGCTGAAAGTGAAAAAGTCTTGAAGCACTTACTGATGAAGATCAAAGACTACAGCCTTCAGTACGGATTACACCTCAACACAGAGAAAACAAAAATCCTCACAACTGGACCTATAAGCAACATCATGATAAATTAATAAAGACTGAAGCTGTCAAGAATTTCACTTTACTGAGATCCATAATCAACACCTATGGAAGCAGCAAACGATGTATGTTGTTGTTGTTGTTGTTATGTGCCGTCGAGTCGGCCCCGACTCATATGTTTAGCATTGGGCAAATACACTGCAAAAACACCTCTTTAAAGCGTTTAAGAGCAACTATGTCACTTTGAAGACTAAGGTGCACCTGACCCAATCCATGGTATTTTCAATAGCCTCACATGTAATGTGAGAGTTGGACAATGAATAAGGAAGAGCGAAGAACGGAATTGTGTTGGTGAAGAATACTGAATGTACCATGGACAGCTAGAAAAGCGAACAAACTTGTTTTGGAGGAAGTACAGAGAACACACTCCTTGAAGTGACAATGGCCAAACTCTTGTCTCTCATACTTTGGTCTTATTGTCAGAAGGGACCAGTACCTGTGGAAAGTCAGCTTGCTAGGTAGAGAGTCAGCAAAAAGGGGAAGACCCTTGAGATGGATTAACACAGTGGCTGTGACAATGAGCTCAATCATGGCAACAACAGTGAGGATGGCGCAGCACTGAGCAGTGTTTTGTTTTGTTGTACACAGGGTTGCTAAGGGTTGACAGCAACTTGATGTTGTTGTTGTTATGTGCCATTGAGTTAGACCCAATTCATAGTGACCCATCTTCCTTGGGTTTCCGAAGCAGTATCACTATGGAAGTAGATTGCCCAACCTTCCTTCAGATGAGTGGCTGGTGGGTTTGAACCTCCAGCCTTCTGGTTAGCAGTCAAGTGCCTTAGGCACTATGCTACCAGAGCATGGGTCCTAACAATACTGGCCACAAAGCTACACAATGACAACTATATATTGCACTTAAATTCTTATTTGTTATTTTCAAGAACCTATTGCATTCTAAAAGGCAGAGATAAGGCCAGAAGAGTAAATCAGATAATCTAGATCCTTGTTTATTCAGCAGACAAATGGCACAAGGAATTCACTCAAGTCCTTGACAGACTAAGATCAAAGTATGCAGTCTTCATTAGGTTGTTTAGAATCCTACCACAAAGTTCAAACATCACTTCAAATAACCAAACTATTTAAAAGCAAACAGGAATAATTAAAGATCAAAGCTCATTAAAAAGGGGGTGGGGGTGGCTTTGAATAGTTAACCTCCCTGGCAACCCTGAGGAAAATTGTGGATATTTTTTTCAATTGTGGAATAGAGTTAATGCGTGCTTTAACTTACATCTTCACTGCTCTCCCCCTTTTTATTTCTTACTCTTAAAGCTCTCCTACTATAAGTTCCCATTCCAACTCTATTCGAGTTAAATATGCTTGTAGCCAATCTAGTTCCCTTTAAAATTAGCATAACTGATTATGCTAATAAGTACATACTCATCTTCAGGGCATGTACAGTAAAACTAATCTCTAACAGACAGTTTGAGTCTTGGGGAAAAACTAGTCCTGACTCTCAGAACTTATTAGGCCAGAGAATGAGTTCTCGGCATTACAAAGTGCCCCACTCCTCCCCCACCAACTTCCAAACTTAAGTGGAAATGCCTCAGGGCAGCCAACCAAGGTTCCAGGGACAATGGGTTAACTGGTCACGCTTATTCACCTCTCTGTCAAATCTCCCCGGTCTCCGCAGCGCTGGGTCTAGCGCATCCGGCCGATTGGTGGCTCCCACAACCACCACCTCGCGGTCCCCATTGATGACATCCAGTAGCGTTAACACCTGGGCCACCACACGGCTTTCGGGGGCTCGATGGGGGCCGCCCCGCCGCGGGCACAGGGCGTCCACCTCATCCAGGAAAAGGAGGCTGGGTCGGCGACTGGCTAGCTCCTGGGCGCGCTGGAAGATCCGCCGTACGTTCTCCTCGGTCTCCCCGGGTCGAGCGCCCTGCAGCGCGGGAGCGCTCACGGCCAGCAGCTCTGCACCCGCCTCCTGGGCCACGGCCCGCACCAGCTGGGTCTTGCCCACTCCAGGGGGTCCCGCCAGGAGCACCCCACGGGGCACGGCTAGACCCAGCGCTGCCAGGGCGCGAGGGTAGCGGAGCGGCAGGCAGAGGAGCTCCCGTAGAGAGGCGGCTGCTTCCGATAGGCCACCCAGGGGCACCTCAGACTGCGGCTCTGCTTCCAATGGGGGCGTCCCGCTGAGGACTATCCGGGTCCGAGGGGTGACCAATCCGGCCGAATCCGGACTGGGTGTCCCGCCGACTATGTGCAGGGTGGCCAAGGGACCTGGAGCATCTGGCGGAGCAGCAACCACGTGGCCCCGAGAGACAGGTCGGTTCCGCAGCAGCTCTTGCGCCGCCTCCAACACCCCAGTTGGACTCAAGTCCCAGGGCGCATCCGCCTGCTCCCGCAATACCGCCCACACGGTGAGGCGCCGCAGGGGCGGGCAGGGCACCAGGCTCAGGCGGCTCAGGCTTAGGCTCCCCCTAGGCCCTGGCACCTCCAGTGCCGCCCCGGGAGTCGCGCACTGCAGGTCCAGCTGCACAAAACCGTCAGCTCCGTCTTGCCGCGGCCAGGCGGTGCAGAGGCAGGAGCCGCCGTCGGGCAGGAAGATCTTCACGGCCGAACCCAAGTGCGCGCCCAAGGCACGGAGGGCGGCCGGGCCTAGGCGGCAACGCTGTGTTCCTCGGTCTTTAGCGTCTAAGGGTAGCAACTGTAAGAGCGGCCCTTCAGAGAAAGGACCCGAGTCCCGAGCCATTGCACACTAAGCCCTAGAGGCAGAAGACAGTGGGGCAGGAATTCCACCCGGGCCCGAAAGGCCGGCACACCAGCTCTTCTGCCGGAAACAGGTTACGCGCATGCGTTAGAGAAGGCGGTGGGTTGCTCGCAGCTTAGTGGGTTACCAAAGGCCAACGTCTGGTGTGTCGTGGTGATGTCCGCTTGGGTTAAACCGAGTACTCCATCCCACAGAGGGTTTTCAGTGCAGGTGTCTGGGAGGTAGCGTAAGCTAACTTCACTAGCTTATTAAGCATGTGGCAAACTGTGTAGTGGTGCCCTCTCAGTGGCTAGTACTGTTTGATCTAGGATCTTAAGATCAATGCGAATTCCGGTCTCATTCTATTCAGACTTCAGGGCGGACACTTACAGACTTATGGACTCCACAGTAACTTATCTGGTCTGTGTTGTACCTTTCCGACTCCTATGCTGGAACAACTGGAATCAAGTAGTAGCAGCAGCAGGAGGTCCTAAAATAGGTGTTGTTATGTGCTGTCGAGTCCGACCGACTCATAGCGACCCCTCTTTGGGCTTCCCAGGCAGTATCACTATGGAAGTAGATTGCCCAACCTTCCTTCCGAGGAGTGGCTGGTGGGTTTGAACCGCCAGCCTAGATAGCAGTGAAAGGCCTTAGGCATTATGCTACCAGAGCTCCCCCTGAAATGGGTAGGCCACCCAAAATAAGTCAGTTTCTATTTTGGGAGCTCTGGTGGCATAGTGCCTAAGGCATCTGACTGCTAACCAGAAGGCTGGCGGTTCAAATCCACCAGCCACTCCTTGGAAGGAAGGTTGGGCAATCTAATTCTGGAGTGATACTGCCTCGGAAACCCAAGGAGAGGTCACTTTGAGTCGGATCCGACTTGAGGGCAGTGTGTGTTATTTTCTTCTGTTAATTTCACTGGCATTTTTTTTTTTTTTTTGGTCTTAAGACTTTTCATTAACAGTTTTACATTTTCTGAAATAAACCATTATTTTTACTGACCCCTAAAGCTGTGACTGAAATGTCCATCAAAATACTCTGTCATGATGCCTGTACTTCCACTTACGTAGATCACTTATTTCAGGTTCCAAAAAGTTTTGAGGATATAGAAAAAAAGGAGATTTAATAAGCAATATGTTCTTAAATATGTAAAGGGCTGTCATATAAAAGAGCTGGTAGATTTCTATATGCTACAGTACAGAACTGACCTGAAGGTAAAAGTTACGGGAGTGAACGTAAGAGGCTTCCTCTCACTTTTCAATATGGTCATGTGGAAGTGGTAGGAGATTTTTTTATAAGGTAGAACCGAGAGGCATAACCAAAGCCAACTGGTGCAAAACATAGGCAAATAAAGTTAAATCAAGTTTACAGTGTTCTGCGTTGGTTTAAAACAACTGAGGTGGAGGCTGAGATTTTATGGATATGACATGGAAGAAACTACATGTTACTTTGGGTTTGTCAGAGGTTGAATTTATACAAAAAAAAAAAAAAACCTAAACCCACTGTCATCAAGTCAATTCTGACTCATAGTGACCAAATAGGACAGAGTAGAACTCCCCCATGGGATTTCCAAGGCTGTAATTTTACGAAAGGAGCTCTGGTAGTGCAGTGCCTAAGGCACTTGACTGCTAACCAGAAGGCTGGCAGTTCAAACCCACCAGCCACTCCTCGGAAGGAAGGTTAGGCAATCTACTTCTGTAGTGATACTGCCTCGAAAACCCAAGGTGGGACCGCTATGATTCGGGTCTGACTCGACGGCACATAACAACAACGTTTATGGAAGCAGACTACCTCATCTTTTTCCCACCAAGCAGCTGGTGGATTTGAACCATTTTGTTAGCAATTGAATGCCTTAACCACTGTGCCACCATAGCCCCTGACTTTATACAAATCAAAAATCAAACCCACTGCCATCGAGTTGATTCTGACTCATAGCGACCCCCATTGGGCTTCCAAGGCAATAAATCTTTATGGAAATAGATTGCCGAGTCATGTTTCTGTGGAGTGCCCAGTGAGTTTGAACCACCAGCCTTCTGGTTAGCAGTCAGATGCCTTAGTCACTGTGCTACCACAGCTCCTTAACTTTATACAAAGTGTATTAATTTCCAAGGGCTGCCATAACAAATTAACTTCACACTAGGTGTCTTAAATCAATATATATTTATTCTCTCATAGTTCTGGAGGCTGTTGTTATGTGCCGTCGACTCATAGTGGCCCCTCCTTGGGTTTCCGAGGCAGTATCACTAGGAAGTAGGATCGCCCAACCTTCCTTCCGAGGAGTGGCTGGTGGGTTTGAACCGCCAGCCGTCTGGTTAGCAGTCAAGTGCTTTAGCCACTATGCTACCAGAGCTCCTTCTGGAGAATAGAAGTCCACAATTAAGGTGTTAGGGCCATGCTTCCTTCTAGGTGGGAATCTGTTCCATGCCTCTATCCTAGCTCCTGGTGGCTTCCAGAAATCCTTGGCATTTGGTGGCTTATAGCTGTACCACCCCTATATCTGTCTCTGTCATCACATAACCTTTCCTGTGTATCTTCCCATGGCTTTCTTATAAGGACACCAGTCATTGTATTTAGGAGCTCTGGTGGCACAGTGCCAAAAACATTTGACTGCTAACCAGAAGTCTGGCAGTTCAGACCCACCAGCCACTCTGCAGAAAGAAGACCAGGCACTCTACTTCCATAAAGATTTGCTGCCTCAGAAACTCAATGGAGGTCGCCATGAGTTGGAATACACTCGATGGCAGTGGGTTTGGTTTTTTTGGTTTAGTCATTGGATTTAATACCCAAACTAATCCAATATGTCCCCATATTAATTAGTTACCTCTGCACAGACCCTATTTCCAGAATGTCATGTTCTGAGGTTCCAGGTAAACCTAAATATATCTTTTTTGATTATACAATTCAACCCACTACACAAGGTCAAACTAGAATTCTCTGACCTTGTAGAACTCATGTGCCCAGGAAATACTTCACACTCTTCCTAAAAGGTCCAGTCTTCCCCTTACATTGCAAACAAAAACAACCAGGAGTCCTGTTCTGGCCTTCATCCTTACCTACTCACTCCTAGCAGAACTGTTACTGTAACTGGCCTGTCCAGTCAGCCAGCAGAATCTACTTCTCTTTTTAAGGCAGACTATATGCAACACCATTATTTCAACCATTTTAACTCCACATTTAACATACCATTCAATGACATAGTTTTCTCCTGTTGGAAAACTACTCTAACAATTAGATGGTTCTTTTGTATTTTGTGTGTTTTGTTTTTAATACGATCCAAAATTTGGTAATTCTATGAACCGGAGTACCAATCAGAGCACCAAAAGGTTGAACACTAGAGGGAGTCCCAAACCAAGTAATCAGAAGACTACTGCACTGTTAGGAGTTTCAAGTGTTCCAACTGTGACTTCCACTAGTTTTTCCCAAAAATTCACACCCAAGTGTATGAAACACTCATGTTCTCTCTACATAGTAATTTACTTATTTTAACACAATTTCCACATTACATTAGGCCATACACAACTCAGATTGCAAGTTAAATTGTTTTTGCTGTATTAAATATCAAAATGAGACTTAACCTCAAATCCAAAATTTGGTAGTGGATTGAAATCCAAACAAATTGCATTTATTTTGTGATAGCTTAGACACAATTCCAACTTTGAGCTGTTTCAATAACCCTGAAAAACACATTATCCTCTTTTGAGATTTTCCTGAATTGATTTAACAAATAGTTTTTTCTTAATTTCAATTGAGACACTGAAAATTAGAATCTGCCTTAGATTAACTGTAAACATTCTTGGTTAGCATTATGTCTAGAATTCAAAATAATTGGAACCTGTTCCTGTTTTAGAATAACTATTAAACCATATATTGGTGTCTCCAGCATCAGTAATATTATATACTAAATATTATATCTCAAGGTATGAAACACCATAATTATGGAAGCTATAAAGAAAATATTTGGTTAAGCCAGTAGTACTAACAATCCATGGATCGATGAATGCTATCTTTCCTGTGTTTCCAGGCTCATGTTATATTCGAATTTAATATACATGAACATTAGTGGTGATTATGATTTGTACCAGATAACTATTGAGATTTATTTAACCACACTTGAAAAAGCATGGTTTGCAAGTACTTTCATCTCAACATGTTCATGCAGATATATCAAGTCAAACAGATCTTCTTATTTTAAAATGTGTAATAAAAGTTCCCCCAAATAGTACATGGTTAAATTTATTCTTCAAAATTTTTCCTCTTTACTCTTTTTCATGCAAAGAATTATTCTTTAAAAGATACAGAGTCAGGGGAAGGAGGGTGATTAGAGCCATCACATATCTTCACTGGACAACAAATTGTAGGCTATAGTTCACCTAACACTATTCTGAAACTGTTCTTGCCAATTTTCAGGAAACTGCTTTTTTCATCATTTTTTACAAGTTAAATCTTTAAGGGAATTTTCTCCTATGATGTGAATTCAAACTGTCCAACTAATAAAAGTAGTAAGACTCATGTATTTATTTAACAATGACTCATAGCGACCCCTCCTTGGGTTTCCAAGGCAGTATCACTACAGAAGTAGATTGTCCAATCTTCTTCCAAGGAGTGGCTGGTAGGTTTGAACCGCCAGCCTTCTGCTTAGCAATCAAATGCCTTAGGCACTACGTGACCAGAGCTCTTACTAAACATATACTTGATTCTCATTACTGTTGTTGTTAGATGATGCTATGAAGTCAGTTCAGACTCAAAGTGACCCTGTGTACTACAGAACGAAACGCTGCCCAGTCCTCCACTTTCCTCACAATCATTGCTATGCTTAAGCCCATCATTGCAGTCACTGTGTCAGTATATCTCTTTGAGGGTCGTCCTCTTTGTCACTGACCATTTCTCTACTTTACCAAGTATGATATCCTCCAGGGTCTGGACTCTCCTGACAACATGAGCAAAGCATGATAAAGTCTCACCACCCTCACTTCTAAGGAGCATTCTGTCTGTATTTCATCCAAGAGAGA